GAGATTGAGTGGTATAAGAGTTTAAGTATAAATTAAGAGCTTTGGATTAAATTAAGCACCTCCAGATTGAGTGGCATCAGAGCAAATTGAGTGGTATCAGAGTTTAGATTTAATTGAATACCTAGGATTTGTTTTGGACTTGGCTAGCCAATTGATTTTAGAACCGTGGTGAGACAAGTGATGGGGTTATATAAGGGACGATTCTGATTTGTGTTGCTTGAATTTTCTAATCCATTTTGATGAGATAGTAATCTGATTGTTCTTGTTTCTTGCCTTCATACTCTGTGTGAAGTTGTGAAAGTAATCTTGCCTGCTATGTCCTCAAGACCTTGTTTTGAAACTTGGTCATTTTCTGATAGTCCGCACTTGTTTAGACTTGTTATGTGAATAGAAATTTTGTATGCTCTTTTGCCACTATTGTAAAATCTGGGGAGTTGCAAAGATCATTTGTTATTGACTCTGTTTGTCTCTACAGCATAGCTGGTTGAGAAATTTGCTCTGTTTGTCACATGACTAGTGGAAGATGGGCAACCCTCGACTTTGTAAGAGATTTAATGCTATTTTAGCAAAAGTTGTGTGTTTTCTAGCTGCGTTTTAGGAGCTGGATTACTTGGTAATTCCGTTGCTCCTTATCTTTCTGAAAGTCTTGTAGTGAAGTTTCACTTTTTCCATTTGGAGCTTCGTGGTCTTTTCATGTGGCTCATTTTTCTGTATTGGTTAATCAAGAGCAGTGATTATTCAATTGAAATTGTTGTCTTTTTGTGAAGATTGGCAAGTTGTCATAAAGTTAAACTCTCTATGGTTGCCAATCTCTATATTCTTGATATCTGGAAATTGCTTGAAACTCTTGAAATCCATCTTGAATCTTTCTTGAGATTGCTTTGTATTTGTTCTTGAAACTGAAATCCAGAAATGGATAATGATTATTGAAATCTTCATTATCTTGATATTCGTTTGAAATTAATTCTTGCATTGTTCTTGGAATCTAGTTTGAGTTGTCCTTGAAAACCATTCTTGTTCTGACTCTTGCTCTTGTTCAAATTCTGTATACTGCTCTTGCTCAAATCTTGCATATTATGCTAGTTCTTGTGTCAGTATACTTGATGATCTTTTTGATTCTTGGTTTTTGTTCATATGGACACCTCTTTAGGAGGGGTGATGGTTATTAGAAGATACCTATATGAGGTATTCTAAATTCTTGTCTCTTGCAAGTGTTAAATTTTGTATCCTTGATGCCTTAGCTTTGACTTGGCTCTAGGATGTCTAGGCTAAGTAGATTGTAGCCTCCATGAGCTATGAGGTGAAGGGGTAGTCCTTGAAGTATCTGATGCCCTAGAGTTTTGTTCCAAGTGAAATGGTTCTTTGATCTGGCTACTTGGATTTTTGTTTGCCCTTTTAATTAGAAGACATGAATCTTCTAAGCATCTTGATCCCAGCCATTGCTTTGTTCTGTTAATTAATTCTAGTACTTGAGGTGCTAGATCTTGGCATCCTGTTATATCTATTCTTGAATCCGTGTTTTGATTGTCATTATTGAAATCTCTTTTGTGGGCCTAATTTTTGGAATTCTATTGCTTGTTTCATGGTTAACTCTTGTCTCTCAATTTTGACTGCTTGGTTAAATTTGATCTTGATTCTTGGTGAATGCCATTGTGTTGTTGAATTTTTTGAGGCATTTTACCTTGCACTCTTGTGTTCCGGTATTCTTCCAAGCATTCATATTTTCCATTGATTTTATTCTGTTGCAATTCTTGAGATTCTTACATGTCTTTTGATGGCCCTAGCTTTTAACTCTTGTTAATTGCTAAAATTTGTTTCTTGATTCCCATTTGCTTTGTTAAACATGAGCTTGTTTATTGGTTAACCTTGTTTTGTGGCAGAATTTATAAGGCATCCATGTACTTGTTCGTTCATTCATAATCCATATATCCATTGGATGCTTATCCGTCTTTGATAGAGTTCAAAGTTTTGTTGTATTCGTCTTTAAATCCATGCCATTCTTTGTCAACTCGTCTTGTGTTGGGTTCAAAGTGTAACCCCACAACTGTTTCTTTTGTGGCCTTGGCAGGATTTATTTCTATTCCTTGTGCTTTCCGTATTACCCCAGCCTCTAGTAGCTTATTTGATGGCAAATCTTGTTAAGTGATTAGTGTTCTGCTTTTTAAGATTAGTTGTGATTTGATATCAGAGTGGCGCAGCGGAAGCGTAGTAGGCCATGTCTATTCATAGAAAGTGAGTGAGGCATTTGTTTGTCTTGGATTGTGTGAAGCCATTCACCACTTGATATGGTCCTCAAT